AATGCCAATATTTTATCTCACATAAACAATTCTGGCTGTTTTTATTATACAATGCCACAAGACTGTCCTATTCTTGAATTTCAGTTTTATGGGATTGGTAGTTTTGAGAACAGCAAAATAGCTTGAATACACACTTAAGTACAGAACTCACATCATGTCTTCCTCCTGGATCTTGCGCATGGCAGCATCCACCATCATCTGTTCCCTGTAACGTTCTTCCTCCTGCTGTTGTCTCTCCTGCTCCTTCTTTGCTATCATTTGCTTTTCAAGGTTCTTTTTGAGCGTCATCTCCTCTCTCCTCTTTGCCTGCCTTTGTTGCTCTGCCTTCAACTCTTCCTCCTTCAACTTAGCCTCCTCTTCTCTTGCCTCTAATTCCTTCTCCCTCTATTGTAATTTTCATACAGCATCAAATCTCACCTGAATATCAATTCTCCTTTAAAACTTTCACCCTTATGTTCACTGTTTTATCTGAATTACAGAAAGATGTGCTTTTGCTTATTATATGATTTGATACTTGACTTTTAAAAAAATGACCCACTTGACCAATGAGAAAAGAAGGTATGCAGAAGTTACCACCATTGGAAAGTATAAAATTCTCAGTATCTAATGATTTTTATTGAGATGTAAAATACCATCCATTAATATCAGGACATTGAGCAGTACATCTTTCTATGTCTGGAGTTGTGATAAAAATGGGGTGGATTTTCTTTGGGGCCCTGGCAATGCACAAGGCATGAGTGGGTGGTTGGTTCCTTCAGGTTCCACATGGAGTGAAATTATCCTGCTCTTGTTCTCTATAATAAGGCAATTTTCTTCCAGTAGAATGTCAAAAGATATAGAACAATTTGAATGAGCTTTCTTTGGGCCTTCTTCAACAATAGCTGCAAGTGTATGCCAAGAGTCAATCAAGCTGTCCAAGGAGAGAAACAAGGCACATGTATGGTCAAAACCAATACTGGATTTCTGCATGGTTCTCTAGCAGGAAATGAAAGCTATAGTGCAGAGGATACAAGTCAAACCAGATGGCTTGCTGTTTTCTCTATTCTGTGGCAGTGGGTTGGCTAAGTCAAGACCTCTATAGCCCATAAATTGGTATTTTAATACCATTTTATTGGCTTACAAAAAAAAGTACTCTAGAAGAGGCAGACCTTGAGAAGCTGCGTGCGAAGTTGGCGTTCAGCCTGTTGAGCTGCAAGCTCTTTCTGCACATAAGCTGCCCTTAGCCTTGCCTCCAGGTCTCGAATCTC